TGGTGAATGCCACAAATTCTCCTAAATCACTCGTACGCACAACTTAAGAACAAATCTGTGCGTACGAACGGTTTTTGCATGAGGCCCAATGTTCTAAGTTTAGTTAAAATATATTGTTTTTTTTAATAAATGCCTTAAAATAAAGACTTAGCATTTGTTAAATTAATGTACATTACCGGCCACCTTTCAGCTTATGATAAAATATGAAAGTTGTAGCCATTTTGATCAAACCTTAAAAATATTATTTTGCTCAATCTTATTAAATATGCAAGATTTTGTTTAATCTGTTAGCAGACAAACGCTAACATTTTGCCTGTTTTCTGTGGCAGCAATTTCAAACTTTATGCAAAAAAGTGTACTTCACAAAGCTTTGTACCTCTGACATGACAGTCTCTCTGTGCTCATGCAGTTTAACCACATTTAAATGAGGTAATATGTATGCATTTAGAGGCTAACTCTCCCATATTAATGTAGATGACTGCCAGGCATAGAAGTGTTTGATTCTCGAAGACCTGCAGTGTTTGCAACGTGGATTTACTCTCAGATTTGACTGTCCTGAGTGCTGGGAGAATTCATGTCTCTGAAGGAAAAAGTTAAACAATCTGCTGCATTGTTGCCTTCACACACAAAAAATAAACAGAGATGTAAAAAAAAGTTTTATTTATCCTCTCTTCAAGTGAAGCATGTCAGACATGATATCAAAATTGTAAACAAAAAAAGTAAGTGTGTGTGTGTGTGTGGGGGGGGGGGGGTTAAATCCAGCTGCAGTTTTACATTTTGAATAAAAAATCTGATTATATTACTTTTTGCCAGATAGTGATTCACAACCATTCAGAGGAAAATAGTTTTCATCTGCATTCTGCTACAAAAGTAGTGCTGCTAAATCTGATCAAAGTATTTGATTTAAAGGAGATCAATTATGGGTCCTAGAAATTTTTATGGTATGTCTGTGGGCTATCCAGACCATGTTCATTCAAGTTAATGCACAAAATAATTCTCAGATAATAAAATTTCCCATTTTCTAGTTCTGCCTGCTCTGACTTCTGTTCAGAAGAGCTGTTTATGTTAATGAGCTCTGTTGGTAACGCCCTCAAAAATCTGTTGACATTAACTCCGCCCACCAAAGCCAGCGTTTACGTTAGCATGGCTAATAATAGCAGAAGCTCCGTTGTACAACCAAATGAGACCCAGAGGCAGAGTCGGTCACAGCTTCTTCTTTTTTTTCCTCTCCCTCCTCTGCTCTGCGCTCACTCTGCATGCTGTTACCAGAGCAGGGAGCAGCAGCGGTCAAAATACCTCAGAAACTCGAACAAATAGGCTTTAACAAGGCTTTAATAAGCTAAACAATAGAGGTACATGAGAAAACGTGTTCATAACGAACGAAAATAAATAATTAATTAAATTGTGTCTGCGCCGGTTTCAAACCCTGGTCTCCCACTCTCTGGTCCATCACTCTACCCATTGCCCTATTGGAGGCTTGTTGTGAAATGAGCTGCACATTGCACAACAACATGGTGACGGCTTTTTATATTGAGGAGGTGGAGTCTCACCCGGGGGTTGCTAGGTAAGAGGCTGAACGCAGGTTCCGGTGGGTTGTCGTACGGCTTGTGACATCACAAGATGACGCAAGTATAAAACTTGTCGTTAATATACATTAAAAATACATTTACTTACAGTAAATATGCCCCTGGGTGCATTTTTTTGGTCCTAGGACTGTTTTTTAAAAGAAGAATTTTGCATGATAGGTCCCTTTTAACATAATTTAGAAATGTTTGCTTTATGAAAATGAAGCGGAGATAAAGGAAACAGTAAAAGCAGATTTTAAAACTACAGTGAATCAAATCACAAGTAAACCAGAGTATGGTCTGGAGATGATCCTCAGCTTTGTTGCCCTTTTTTTTGTTAAGATGACAGAGAATTTTAAATAAATTCTTACGAGCTCCTTTTATTGTACCCAGTGTTGGAGGTGTGTCAGTTTGCACGAGACGCTTCAGTCGCTGAGGCCTGGCTCATTGCTCAGGAACCTTACGTGGCCAGCAAAGACCTGGGTCACACCGTGGACGAGGTCGAGAAACTCCTCAAGAGGCACGAGGCCTTTGAGAAATCCACCGCCACCTGGGAGGAACGTTTCTCTGCGCTGGAGCGCCTCACCACGGTACGACAAAAAACCAAAAACACACAGATAAATGGTCACGTCTAGATCTGTGTAGACTTTATGGCTTTAAGAGTTGCTTTGTAAACAAAGTTGTCAGCAGTAAGGCCTGACTGCACGTTACTGAGCTCAGTTCACTTCTGTGTTGCAGCTGGAGCTGCTGGCGTTAAGGAAGCAGCAGCTGGAGATGGAGCAGTTTATGAAAGAACAACAACCCTCAGATAAAGAGAGCAGGTTTGTTGTGTTCTGCATGTGAATACACACAGGCTTTTTTTTTAAATTACATGAAAATAAAAATAGTAGTACTAGTTGTGTAACGTATCTAATCCCTCTATACCTGACAAGTTACTGTATATGTTTGTGACACTACATTTAAACTTTTGCTGTTAAACACCTGAGTGTGGAGCTGAATAGAGAAATAATTATAAAAAGATGCTCTCTAATGCTTTATTTGTTTTGCTCTTTCAAACCTTTAATAAGTCACTCTTACTGTTCTCTTTTGTTTAGGAGAGAAGACACAGGCTTTGTAGAAGAATCCTCACAACTTTACACTATTGAAGAACAAACACTGGTCAGTAACTCACTTCCTGTTCCCTTTATTTTATACAAGCCTCATTCACAAAACGCGTCGTTCCGGGCCTAATGCGCGATCTGTCCTCCTTAGAGCTTTCAGAAAAAAACACATTTGTGGAAAGGCGAAACAGATCCTCCCACCCCTGAGACGTAAAGCTTGATAGTAACAGGCCCACCTCGGCCCACTTCTGAACAGAGGCGAAATGTTTGCGGCTCCAGCTGATTTGAATAATGGGAGGAATGATGACGTGCTCTCCCCGCATACACTGTACCGCTGATTAAAGTTGTAAACAAAGCCGAACTGCACCTGACTTTTTTCCGTGTGCGCACTCGTTTATTTTCGCTGCGTTAACTGGGGCGATGCAGAGACCCGCGTTCTCCTGAGTGCCGAGGAGGAGATAAATAAGAACTTCACAATAAGGACGGTGTGCTGCTGGACTGGTTTGCAAAACTTATGGATGTGGTGAGACTAGTGTTGTAGTCAAGACCACCTAACCCGAGACCAAGTCAAGACCAAGACCACAGTGTCTCGAGACCGAGACAAGACCAAGACTTTTAGGGTTTGGACCAAGTTGAGACCAAGACCAAGGGAGGACGAGACCGAGACAAGACCAAGACTTTTAGGGTTTGGACCAAGTTGAGACCAAGACCAAGGGAGGGCGAGACAGAGACAAGACCAAGACCAGATAAAAAAAATAGTGTCCTAAAAGATGGAGTATTCTGTACTCATGTACAGTGGGGTAAAAGTATTTAGTCAGCCATCAATTGTTCAAGTTCTCCCACTTAAAAAGAAGAGATAGACCTGTAACTGACATCATAGTTAGACTTCAACTATGAGAGACAAAATGAGAAAATATATTTAGAAAAATCACATTGTCTTGTTTTTTTTAAAGAATTTATTTGCAAATTATGGTGGAAATAAGTATTTGGTCAATAACAAACAAGCAAGATTTCTGGCTCTCTCAGATCTGTAACTTCTTTAAGAGGCTCCTCTGTCCTCCTCACATTACCTGTAGTAATGGCTCCTGTTTGAACTTATCAGTATAAAAGACACCTGTTCATAACCTTAAACAGTCACACTCTGAACTCCACTGTGGTGAAAACCAAAGAGCTGTGTAAAGACACCAGAAACAAAACTGTAGTTTTGCAGTTGGGAGTGGGAAGACTGAAGCTGCAATAGGCAAGCAGCTTGGTGTGAAGAAATCAACTGTGGGGCCTGGTGAATGACCTGCAGAAGGCTCGGACTGACGTTACAAAGGCTATATTGGAAAATAATCTGGCTGTTTAGTGATGTTTCCACAGTTGTGGTCTTGACTGGTCTTGGAATAAAATTCTGAGTCCTCAATGTCCGAGACCGAGACAAGACCGAGTGCAAATGCTGTCGAGTCCGAGACGAGACCAAGACCATCAAAAAGTGGTTTTGAGACCGGTCTTAAGACCAAGACCGATTTCAAGTACTACAACACTAGGTGAGACAGCAGCTCCCTGAGCTAAGGGGGAAACAAAAGTCCCTCAGCTCGCAGCTGCTGGAGTGGCAAAACCTTCTCTAAATTATCTGATGAATTAATTATCTGCTGTGCGCAACGTTTACTTGCTCTTAAGTAAATAAAGCAAAGCCATTTTAACAGTTTTATTTATTTTATCTTATTTCACCGGTCAGACAGTCTGGTCCCGGTCTAAAAAAAAAGTCTGACAGAGCGTCTCTAAATTATCTGGTGAATTAATTATCTGCTCTGTGCGCAGCGTTTGCTTGCTCTTTAAAGCAAAGCTATTTTATTTTATTTTATCTTTATCTTTATTTCAAACGTCAACTGACCGGAAAAAGAACAAAGACGCTCCTCCCATTGCACGTCTTCAGACGTGTTTGGTGTGAATGGCTACTGTTTACACTCACGTCAGCGGTCCCACATGAAATACATAAGCAATACGTAATCGCAGCTGGTTTTTTTCCACGCCTCCGAACTTCCCGCTATGTAAAACGATTTGTGAACGCTCCATTGAGGGCGGGATGTGGCCGGATTATTCTTTGTTTTATGAATGAACGGACCGGCACTTAGCCGGGCAGGGCTTGGCGCCATGATCGCGGATATGTCTTGTAAAAGCGGTTATTGTTTCCAGGCCTGATTCAGTGGATTAAACTTTTTAAACATTCTCTTGTGCTTTTTAAAAATTTCTTTCTCACTAAATTGATTACGATTGCTTGTTAAAAGGAACTCCAACTAGTTGTAACATTATTTGATAAACATTTAATTTAACTATAAAAACGAGGCTGTAAAAATACTGTAG